ATAGATTTGATATATATATATATATATATATATATATATATTTGATATATACCTGTAGACCCTTACGATGAGATGTAACGCACTCGAGCTTCTGAATAGGTACAGGCCCACAATTTTCATCGTCAACGATATCTTCAGAGGCACCAGAGAGTGGATTATTATGGGTGACAGAAGATGAGCTGGTATTTCGTAAAATCCGGAGCCGCATGCACTAATATACACGACAGAGAACCGTATAGGTCGGTGACTACGGTAAAGCAGCCAACCATATGTTTTTATCTCGCCTCTTTATAGTTTTCCCTCATCTGTTCGCGTTCGATTAATGAAAGACCCAGCCTACTTACAGCAAGAGACTTTTGAATGATGCACTTCGCACCTGTGTTTACGTTACAGTGTTACATACCCATATGGTTTGAACCGTCCTGGACCTAGATCATGCGGCTGCTGAAATCGATATCCGTTTTTCATTCAGGTATGTTAATGAATTTTAGGTAGTTCTTTCACGGTCCGCAGTTGTTCGGTTTTATCGTAATCCTCGATGGCTTCGTCCATATCTGCGTGATTTATACTATCGACGTCTTGATCAAGGACCCGAACCGTATCGACCGAGGTCCTTTTGGTCAAACTGGAATAACGAAGCCGAATTAGGAGCATTTTGTCATCGGATTGGTGAGAACATCCCAACTGAAGTACTTAATCGTGCCCTCACTGATAAGTTCTGTCTAATCCTCTGGAATAATTGACTTCTACACCCTTAGGTCCTATGCACCTATCACAGCGTCTTCCAGCACATGTGACGCACTGCTGCCACCCTCGGAATGCAACACTCAATACATTCGAAAAGGTATATACCCGGTTGAGCTTCCTAATGGTCACACGTACTCTAATGTATTTTTGGCTGTTTTCTTTTTCAAAACCAGCTTCAAATGGAATTGAAAGTGTTGGTTAGCTCCTGTGTACACAGGACTCTACACCAGTGAATAGTCTATATGCGTTTGTTGGTTCTGTTTTTTTACTGCCTACAGAGAAGCATCAAGAGTGAGGAGCGAATTCAGGATGTGACCGAATGCTGCGACCCTGACGTGCTGGTCGGACCCAAGTCCTGCACTGATCTCTTGCGGGCTACACTAGCTGGAACTTGCTAGGAAGTAGAAGTGTGAAGGTAGTGAGGTATTTCTCCCGGACGTCCAACGTATCCATGTCTGTGGAAGTACTGAGGCTGTTTTCTTTAGATGAGAGACAAGTTAGAGACCGTCAGCACCAGAAAACGCAAACCCTGGTCGACCGGTGGCTGACCATGACCACCGGCGATACTTATTTCATGATTCCGCTAGAAAGGTCCGGGTCAACTCAACCATGTAGATGCGTTCGAGTTTCACGTTATCACCAACCCAGTTTGGAGACGTGTTTACTCCACTGTATAATTGCGACGTTCTTGGAATTAGTCGGCTTTCCCAATAAAGCACTGTGCCGTTTCTCGTTTTACCGACACTTCCGCTGCAGGTCACGAACTGGCCGAATCTTATATGTGTGCATTTCTGCGGCATGTATATCCCCGCGTCCCAGAGGAATGGATAGTGAGCATTGTCGATTGTTTGCTGTCAACTACACAGCTTTCTTTCACCGCTGCGAACCTGGGCTTGCGAGACTTAGTTTTGTACGGTTCGGAGGATTCTCCTGGCGGTAAACCTGATTCGATCAACCCACCCTCTCCTGAAGTAACTTCGAATTCTTTATTGTCAATCATTGGAGCCTTGGCCGAAATAGATGTAAGTAACACATGGATAATTTTGTTCAAGTCCTAAAGCTTTTTCGTGCAGTTCTCTATGTTAAGTATGCGTGCCTATTCAGAAAACCATGCGTTTTCGAACGCTGGCTTTGACTCACTCGATCTTAACCAATGTGTACTTGAAGACCGCTCGATAAGAGATATACTGTAGAGAACCATACTACACCATATACTATATTCACTGCCCAAACAAGATGGAGAAGCCCTGCCCTCTAAGAGCAAGTCAGAATGCGTTTTTGAGCCTTTTTGTATTCCTTTGAAAAGTTGGGGTAATGTGCTTGAGTTTGTTGCTCAGTCTACTTATCTCGGAAGCTGTACGGAATTTCTGGGCAGATCAACGCAGTTTTTGGGATATGCTGCATAGCTTCCCGCAACCGAACATTTGCTTTCAAGTAAGTATAGTGGGATCCGCGTGGATTCCTGCCTAACACTGGTTGTGCAGTGGCGAGTGTGGGCCGCCACCACTGTACTCGTTTTGGCACTAATTGTTGCTGGTCTGAGGAGGTCTCCAGTCTTTTGCCACCGGAGACCGGAAATTGCCATGAAAATTCATGCATCCTTTCCAATGAGCTTAGCTGAAACTCAGAACTACCCCCCAAATAAGTTAAGCACTTCGATCGTTCCTTAGCTCGGGTCGTAACGACTATACTACTGGTGGGATCATACGCAGGATCCTAACCATTTTACGGAACCCACGTTGAACAACTCGCCCAATGACTTCACCGTCTGAATTGTTGGATAGCTGAGGCTTGCACAGAATATAAAGCCTTCGTGCTTCTTAAGTTGTTAGAATTGGTTGCACGAAAGATCTGGGTGCTTCGGTCACAAGAATTCTCTGCCGTGACTAGAAAGTTCAAACATGCGAACTCTTGAACTTCATTAACTGGTCGTACTCCAAACGGTCGAAACCTAGCTTCCTCACACCGATGCAAGCGTATCCTATGAGGCAGGACATGCGCGAGCTCTAACGAGCTGCTCCGTAATAGTCATCCCTTATGTTCACCGATAGCGTGAGACACGCTAATTGACTGTTGTGTTGAAACTTCGCCTCCATGGGTTACCACCAGCTCTGACCTGGCTAAAGTCAACTATTTTTCGAGTTCTGGGGAGTATTCTGTTCCAGTCTTCGTATCTATTTACAAGTTTGCATACGTCCCCAGATTTTGTGTTGTCTCGTTCTTCTGTGGTCAGGCAGCACACCGTAGACCGTGCTGTGGATGCTGACCAACCTCTATTTAGGCAATAAAAGTCGCATCGGTTGAAAATTTATATGATGTGTCCTTGGTAATTTTCAGAGTACAACATGAAAAAGCTGTTTAAGAACATAAATCTTGAGTCAATGGGAGAAAGGTAGACGTGTCAACGGTAAACGCCCTCAATGCGGGACACCCCGCATTCGTGGAAATTTTCCGAACCCTTCAAAGGTTTCTAACTAAAGGTCAAATAAAAGTAAAGAGCATCCCGATCAACCTATTAAGAAACACCATTCGACCGTCTTCAAGAAATACTGCGTTGCTAAGTGGTGAATCCTTCTTGCCGAAGCCATCGACTGTTCATTCTAACTCATGGACGCGCATATGAATGGGTCTATGTGGAGGTGGGCTACCGGGCGAATACGGTTCACACTTCGAGCTTCACTCGGTAACCAAAAGTGAACAGTCCTCAGTTTGTATGGTTTGGTCGTCGCTTTGTTGGCTAAGCTAGACAATTAGATTACAAACGTCTCATCACCAATCAAGGTGAAATCATAAGTGCATTGTTGGGTAGCGTAGCGATTGGTGATGAAATGTTTGCAATCAAACTGCTCAGATCAACGAACAAACCAACGACCATGCTGCCTGAGTAACCACAACATTCGCGATTAGGCCAGTCAGTGCCTAATAAGTTCTTGAGGTAGCCGACAACGACCAGATTGACACGAGAAGTCATCTCGATTCTCAGCTGGGTCCGTCGCAATGCACACGGATGATTGTTAGAAATGAAGCCCGTAAAGTGATCTGCATTCTTCTTAGGTGAATGGCTGAAAACCTTTAAGTTGGGGACAAACGGTTTATCAACTCAAAATGTTGTGAAGCAGCTACAACCTGTAAACTCCCAGACCCGAGAAACAGAGAAATCCTGCATCTTTGGGAATGTGGTATAGGTAGAAAAAGAAATATTGTGGTACGTGAGATCAGGTTCGAAAATTTAAACTCAGAGATCTACCACTGGGTCGTCTGGAACAAGAAACAGCTACTTGTGGGGCAATTTTTCAATAAGGCGAGTTGGCAAGTGAAATGGGATTATATATATTCTTGCAGATTCAGATTTATGGATGCCCAACATCCTTCAGGTCACCCGTTTTATAGAAAACACGTTTTTCGGATCTTAAGGCTTGTAATAGAGTTGAGTTACAGGTCCGTTCCACTGAGCTGGAGAGCTAAACCAAATGACACGCAGATAGGCTAATGTCGTCACCTAGATGTTTTTTCTCAGTGGTGGGGAACATCATGCAGTAAAGAAGGCCGCGCCTTAGACTGGCAAAAATGGTCCCGTGTTGCTTGTTTTGTGGCGCTTCATACCGGCAAATGTTTATTGTGCTATCCACTTAGGTAGTTGTAATGCGGAATTTAGTCTACAGGGAGCCAGTCTGTTGCTGGTTTTGAATTTCCGTTCAGGAATTGTACCACTTTTATCTATTAGCCATCATATATCTTAGGATTTTTATCCTCCGAAGGGACTATTAGGTAAAGGGTACCACATCTACTTGGTCCCTTGCACCAACCATTTCTGACCAGTCCCTTGAGGTGATCTATCCAGACTGTGGCAACTGCAAAGCATCACTTTTTAATAATATTTCCCTTATTGACGACACATGGATACTGTCTGAGATCCCTACTTTATTTGCAGCTGGAGAGGGCATATCTCTTCATTCGGGACTTTCTGCTTACTCCGTTGGTTGACCTGGACTTGACAGGAGACATCGTGGTGATAGAAAACCCATTACCGCTTCTCCATGGCATGTTGTTGTCAGAAGGCAAACCGCCACCAGAATCGAGGTAGTGCTACTATAATAGCCATGTCCGCCCAATATCATACGTAGAATTTGTTAGATGATGTCTTTGTTCTAGCGGATAATGCATTTACACTGCACAATCTCGTTCGGTATCCCAATTCTTGTCATTCCAAAAGCATGGGTTTATTTGGTAAGCAGTTCGAATAACGCTGCTTCCCCTTATTGAACGAATATGTTATTACCTAAGCTGGAGTTGTCCAGCAGTTTGAAAGTTATTTCTCTGAAGACTGGGCTCACACCCAAATGAGAGATCGTTTGCATATGCTTTTTCAGGGCTGTTTCGTATAGTTTTATGTTCACATTTCTCGTGTTAAATGGTCGAATTTCAAAGCTGTCACAGTTTTTGGATAAGATTTAAACTGGTTGGGGCTATGGGAGCGGCACGACTCGAGTGGTTAGAGCGCGAATTTACCAACCGCAAGGTCCGTGGTTCGAACCCGACCCTTTGCCTCCCGACTTCTCCTGTCTAGGCTTGGGCAACCTGATAGTTCCACAGCCCTTGTGTTTCATTCGGGTGGCATGGCAGCTAGGCACCGAAAGGGTGTTGTAGCTGAACGAGTGTCGTTTTTTATTATCGGTGAGATGTGACTTGCTATCGAATATTGACTTCACTAACCGTTTGCGTGAACATGCAGCGAGCAATAAACTACGGCTCGGCTCACCAAGCCGTCCCGAACATAACCCGATGGGCTCGAACATAACCCGATGCGAAGAGCCATCAGACGTCAAGTGAAAGTCAGTTTGCGATCCGACCGTGAAGTATGGTGGACACAGAAAGCCAAAGAAATGGAAGAGGCCCAGAAAGCAGGTGATGCCCGGAGATCATTTCAGTTGATCCGTGCGACCGGTTCCCGGAAACCACCTGTGAGTGAAAGCATCAAGCATCAGAATGGAACGACCATCTCTAATAAGGAGGAACGCCTTGATCGGTGGGCTGAATACTTTGAACAACAAATGTCTTGGCCACCAGCCGGCACTCATCTACAGCCCACAGGTGAAGTAGAACCCTGGACGGTGAACGTGGAACCACCTACGGCCTCGGAGGTTTACGACTGCATATGTTCTCTCAAGCGCCACCGAGCTCCCGGTCCGGATGACCTTCCACCTGCACTGTTCAAAGACGGGGGTGAAGTCCTCAGTCAGCGCCTGTCCGACCTGTTTGCTTGCATTTGGGAAAAGGAGTCTGTCCCAGACAACTGGGGAGAATCGGTGATAGTGCCCATTTTCAAAAAAGGGGCGCGTAGTGAGTGTGGTAACCACAGGGGGATCAGCTTGACCCCGGTTGTAACGAGACTGTTGGCGTCAATTGTGCTTCGTCGCCTTACGGTGGCTCGTGAGATGCTGACTCGAGAGCAGCAAGCGGGATTCCGGCCTGGTAGGGGTTGTGTTGACCAAATCTTCACACTGCGTCAGGTGCTAGAACAACGCCATACGTATAAGCGACCCACGATTCTAGTATTCCTGGATTTCCGAGGCGCATTCGACTCGGTTGATCGGTCTGTTCTTCTTGAGACGCTTGCCCACCAAGGAATGCCCCGGAAGTTTGTAAACATAATACGTTCTTTGTATTCTCAGACTTCCGGACGTGTGAGAGTGTACGGAGAGCTCTCCAAAAGCTTCCGCACACAAAGCGGTGTCCGTCAGGGATGCCCACTCTCTCCATTCCTTTTTAACTTTGTGATCGATGAAATAATGAGACGAACGCTGGAGGGTCTCCAAAACCCTGGTGTTCAAATAGCCAGTGAAGAAAACCTTGTCGATCTGGAATATGCAGACGACATCGTTCTCATGTTCGAAGAGGAGGAGAAGGCGCAAGTATTCTTGGATGAACTGACCAAAGTCATCCCGTCCTTTGGTATGCATTTTGCACCCACAAAGTGTAAGGTCATGCTTGTGGACGTGCAGTCACTGAACACGCCCCTTACAATCCAGGGAGAGGTACTGGAAGTTGTGGAGCGTTTTACGTACTTTGGAAGTTGTATTAGTTCTGATTGTAGTGTGACAGATGAGGTGAATGCACGAATCTGCAAGGCTCGGGCCGCGTTTGCTAACTTGAGACACCTATGGCGTCAGAATGGTTTATCCCTGAATCTGAAGGGACGTGTGTATCAAGCTACAGTACGGGCTGTTTTGTTGTATGGCTGTGAGACTTGGCCTATTCGAGCAGCGGACCTGAGACGTCTTCAGGTGTTCGACAATCATTGTCTCAGAACCATAGCTCGCGTGGGTTGATGTCGGCGAATCCGTAACGAGGCAGTTAGAAAGCGTGTTTTCGGTTGTGTAACGGGTACTTCCATTGAAGAATGTGTCCAGCACCAGAAGCTGCGTTGGTTGGGACATGTGTTACGTATGCCGAACCATCGTTTGCCGAAGAGAGTACTGTTTTCCATGCCCAATTCGGAGTGGCGTAAACATAGAGGTGGCCAACCCTTGACTTGGCAGAGGAGTATGAAGGAGATCACGAAACGCTTGGGTGCTGTCGGTGCTACTCGCCTTCCAGGATGGGGACCGCGTGATCCTCACTTTGCCTGGTTGGAGACACTACAAGATATGGCTGCCAACCGATGTCAGTGGCTTTCTTGTTGTCAGTTTCTGTCCAGATTGCCTGAGTGAATGTCTAGAGGTGTAGGCACCTCGGAATGATTGTGTTAAGCTAGCACTAAGTCCCTCCCCCATCCACCTTTATTCTTTTCTTCACAATAGGGCTTTCAAATAAGTCATGGTTGTACGGCAGTGAAGCATCGGTGTTGAACACTGATGTCATGCTGTCGATGATGATGATGATGATCACCAGAGGCTTCATTATTATCATTATTATTATTATCATCAACAACAGTCAAAAATTTTGCAGTGTCATGACGTAACTCCCACGAATCCTCCGCCAACAGGAGTTTATTTGCAAAATAAAGCTTTGGTAGATGACAATGGGGGAATGCACATTAGATGCTAAAAACACAACCTTACAAGCTTTATCCGCTGCCTCTTGGATTCTGACTTACCCATTCTGAATTCTAATCACTTAATAGGCACTATATGCCAACTCCAATCGGCTCACAAGGGTCTACGGAGTGTTTCCAACTGAGTTTACTGACTGGTTAAATAAGCTTAATAATGCTGTCTTGGGTTTTAAGATTTACTTCATACTCGTACAGTTTGCTGTTACAAGTCAGTAGGGGACCAAGTATACACCTCATGCTTACCAATAAGCCAGTCAATGTGATAAAGAAATTTATTTACGCGGGCGATTGTGTAAGTCCCGGCTGAAGACGAGTTCACCTGTCGAGAAGTGGTCCGGTAGGTCAGGATGGCTTTTGCCAACCATAATAATCTACGTTTGTCTGTCACTATCACAGTATGAGGTAGTATGGTCCGTAGTGCTCATGGGCTTTGCCCCTGCGTTAAGAAAATCAACGAAGACTGTTAGTGTTTAGTCACCGATGTCTCCGAAGCGTCAGCTAATTCTGTTGAGAACATCAGATTAGCAATTCTCAGGAATACAAGGTGACCCAGGGAAGGATGGTGGTCGAATTAATCACGCTCCACAGGTTACGCTGCTTAGAACAAGTACTCTGCATATCGGCGACCCGTTTACCCCGCAGGACCTTTTGCTCAGCCCTGTTCTGTGTTGAAACGACCAAAAGACGAGCAGTCTATGGAATCAAGACGTATAAAGGCTTTAATCACTAGATACCAGCAGGTTGATAGCTGCCCCTTCCTAGGTTTCGGACATCGGGAACCGAGTTCCACCATGAAAAGCATAGCATTCCTGAATCAAAGGTGCCGCCTTCAGTACCTGATTTTTTTCTTCCCTCTTCATTGGGTGATTAAGGTGATTTAACGTCAGTTGAGCTCCAAATTCTTCAAATTTTCCTGTTGTCCTATTTCTTAGTGACTGAAACTGTCGCTAGCACCGGTTGTGCTCCTGGAGTGTGTGTACCGACACAGTACATAAGTCGTTTAACACCCTAACAACGACGTATCCCTTGGAAGAGTATGCTCAACTGCGGCAAGCCATCTACATTTTGTTCAACAAGTCGATTTTACCTGAAACAGGCAGGCAGTTGACTCGGCTGATTTCGCTGGTTGATACCACCAGTTTTGCATTACTCAGGACTGAGATCGACTTATAAGTGGTTGAGAGCGAGTGTCTAGAAGATTGCAACCACCCCCTGCATTTACTAATGTATCTGCAGTTGCAGGGATACATAAATAGGTAGAACCGCCCGGAAATGCGGGAAAAAGTCCCCCTGTCCAGACGACTTCGTACACTGGTGGTTTTTCCCGAATCGAATCAGAGGTCGATTCACAGACCACGAGGCATCTAGTCGCTAGAATGTCAGCTTTATGCTTCGTTCTGGGTAGTAGCATGTAGCAGCTATCTAAACAGACTTGAAAAAATATCGACTGATACCCTATTTGATCCTATCTGGTCCTCTCAGAAAAAAAATTTGTCATGTTCATTTGTAGCCCTGTGTAAACAGTGCAACTAATCCTACAATTAGTTTCATCTTATCCCATTTCATACGTGCTACGGTAGGAAAGATTGTTCAACATAATTTGCTTTTGTAGCACCATTGTTCTCATTGTGTTGCACAGACTATCCCGGGGAACGCGTTGCTTTGAACGACAAACCACCTGGACCTATTCGGTGCTCGTTGTATTCGATTTCTCGACCGGCTTCTCAGGGTACTTCAATCATAGGGTCAGTTCGCAGTAGGAAAGTAGATAAAAAGGGTAAAGTGATTGATCCATGCAGCATCTAACCGAGTAAGAGGTGTGTATAGGCTTCATTTCTCATTTGTCTTGAAATATGCGTAAGTAAGTAGTCATTGCTTCATCCTCCCGCACAATTGGGATACAAATGTTCTGAAGAAGGTAAGATTTTTCAACAGAATGAGATGGAAGGAGCATCGCATTACTGGACACCATGGAGCGCTGTGGCTCAACGCTGACTTTGCCGTCTCTAATGGATGCGATAATGTAAGAT